TGTCTAGGGCTGGAGCCCTGCAGTCGGCCCTGTCTAGGGCTGGAGCCCTGCAGTCGGCCCTGTCTAGGGCTGGAGCCCTGCAGTCGGCCCTGTCTAGGGCTGGAGCCCTGCAGTCGGCCCTGTCTAGGGCTGGAGCCCTGCAGTCGGCCCTGTCTAGGGCTGGAGCCCTGCAGTCGGCCCTGTCTAGGGCTGGAGCCCTGCAGTCGGCCCTGTCTAGGGCTGGAGCCCATGCAGTCGGCCCTGTCTAGGGCTGGAGCCCTGCAGTCGGCCCTGTCTAGGGCTGGAGCCCTGCAGTCGGCCCTGTCTAGGGCTGGAGCCCTGCAGTCGGCCCTGTCTAGGGCTGGAGCCCTGCAGTCGGCCCTGTCTAGGGCTGGAGCCCTGCAGTCGGCCCTGTCTAGGGCTGGAGCCCTGCAGTCGGCCCTGTCTAGGGCTGGAGCCCTGCAGTCGGCCCTGTCTAGGGCTGGAGCCCTGCAGTCGGCCCTGTCTAGGGCTGGAGCCTGCAGTCGGCCCTGTCTAGGGCTGGAGCCCTGCAGTCGGCCCTGTCTAGGGCTGGAGCCCTGCAGTCGGCCCTGTCTAGGGCTGGAGCCCTGCAGTCGGCCCTGTCTAGGGCTGGAGCCCTGCAGTCGGCCCTGTCTAGGGCTGGAGCCCTGCAGTCGGCCCTGTCTAGGGCTGGAGCCTGCAGTCGGCCCTGTCTAGGGCTGGAGCCCTGCAGTCGGCCCTGTCTAGGGCTGGAGCCCTGCAGTCGGCCCTGTCTAGGGCTGGAGCCCTGCAGTCGGCCCTGTCTAGGGCTGGAGCCCTGCAGTCGGCCCTGTCTAGGGCTGGAGCCCTGCAGTCGGCCCTGTCTAGGGCTGGAGCCCTGCAGTCGGCCCTGTCTAGGGCTGGAGCCCTGCAGTCGGCCCTGTCTAGGGCTGGAGCCCTGCAGTCGGCCCTGTCTAGGGCTGGAGCCCTGCAGTCGGCCCTGTCTAGGGCTGGAGCCCTGCAGTCGGCCCTGTCTAGGGCTGGAGCCCTGCAGTCGGCCCTGTCTAGGGCTGGAGCCCTGCAGTCGGCCCTGTCTAGGGCTGGAGCCTGCAGTCGGCCCTGTCTAGGGCTGGAGCCCTGCAGTCGGCCCTGTCTAGGGCTGGAGCCCTGCAGTCGGCCCTGTCTAGGGCTGGAGCCCTGCAGTCGGCCCTGTCTAGGGCTGGAGCCTGCAGTCGGCCCTGTCTAGGGCTGGAGCCCTGCAGTCGGCCCTGTCTAGGGCTGGAGCCTGCAGTCGGCCCTGTCTAGGGCTGGAGCCATGCAGTCGGCCCTGTCTAGGGCTGGAGCCCAGCAGTCGGCCCTGTCTAGGGCTGGAGCCCAGCAGTCGGCCCTGTCTAGGGCTGGAGCCCAGCAGTCGGCCCTGTCTAGGGCTGGAGCCCAGCAGTCGGCCCTGTCTAGGGCTGGAGCCCAGCAGTCGGCCTGTCTAGGGCTGGAGCCCAGCAGTCGGCCCTGTCTAGGGCTGGAGCCCAGCAGTCGGCCCTGTCTAGGGCTGGAGCCCAGCAGTCGGCCCTGTCTAGGGCTGGAGCCCAGCAGTCGGCCCTGTCTAGGGCTGGAGCCCAGCAGTCGGCCCTGTCTAGGGCTGGAGCCAGCAGTCGGCCCTGTCTAGGGCTGGAGCCCAGCAGTCGGCCCTGTCTAGGGCTGGAGCCCAGCAGTCGGCCCTGTCTAGGGCTGGAGCCCAGCAGTCGGCCCTGTCTAGGGCTGGAGCCCAGCAGTCGGCCCTGTCTAGGGCTGGAGCCCAGCAGTCGGCCCTGTCTAGGGCTGGAGCCCAGCAGTCGGCCCTGTCTAGGGCTGGAGCCCAGCAGTCGGCCCTGTCTAGGGCTGGAGCCCAGCAGTCGGCCCTGTCTAGGGCTGGAGCCTGACAGAGGTAGTTGGCGAGGAGAAGGGCGGGGTAGGAGTTATGAGGAAAACCTAAGAAACTTCTCACCATTTTGGGAAACATGAAGGATATGAGGCGACAAGACTTGTAAGACACATTTGTAAGACACATTTGTAAGATACATTTGTAAGACACACTTGTAAGATACATTTGTAAAACACATTTGTAAGACACTTGTAATATTTTTCAGACATTAGGAAAAAGGATAAAACAAGATTAGCATTAATCTTGTAAGACACATTTGTAAGACATTTCTAAGATTTTAAACTCAAATCAGCCATGTGAGTGTTAACAATAACTTATTCAGTGTAAAATTAATGAGCAAGTGGAATGAGATACAAGTGGTGATGGGCGAGGCTTCAGTACGGTAGCCAGAATGTCTGGGGGACAATTATATAATAGGCTACCTACGACAGAGAGGCAAGGCCCAGGAGCTGAAGCTCATCATGCAAGAACGTATAAGTGAGCATAACCTGGGGTGAGACATAAGGAACAAAGACTGTTCTCAGGGGTCGAGGTATAACCCAAAAAAAGTAATATACCAGACAGTTATTGTCAGGTTTGTAATGGAGAGCAGAGTGCGCGGCAGTACACTTTTTAAATTTATCATGTGTAATTATCATAAAATATAAACAATAAAATGCCCCAAAAATATTAAAGCAAACACAAAATTATTTAGTAAATTTGTTATATATATTAGAGAAGTGTGGTAGTGGGAATAGATGAGAGTGGTTAAGGAGTAAGAGGTGGAAGCGGAGGGTGGAGGAGGCGGCGACGCTGCTGCCGGCCGCCATGGCGTCTCGCCCCACCACACGCCCTCAGTCTCAACGCGTCCACCACACCTACAGTGTCAACACGCCCACCACACGCCCACAGTCTCAACGCGTCCACCACACGCCCACCACAGACACTACACTCAACAATAAAGGTAAGGTTATGCTGTAACTGAGGCAGAGGAGCACAGCCCGCCGCCGCCGCCATTGTTTACATTGAAAAACGTTTCCAGACATATTTTTTTTAAATTATACTTACCGTGTTTTACGGTTAATAACATGAGGTTAGCTTCTCAGTTCTTCAGCAAAGCTGAAAAGCTTGAACTTAATTAGTTCTTTGTTTTAATATTATAATGGAGACATTGGAGCCAGATGACCAGGTGTGTGGCCGGCTGCCTCCCTCACTTGTTTGAAGCGTGGCTGTGGGGGCGTGACTGTGGCGTCGTGACTGTGGGGGCGTGGGCGTGTGGGCGTGACTGTGGCGTCGTGACTGTGGGGGCGTGGCTGTGTGGGCGTGACTGTGGGGGGCGTGACTGTGGGGGCGTGACTGTGGTGGGCGTGGGCGTGTGGCGTGACTGTGGCGTCGTGACTGTGGGGGCGTGGCTGTGTGGGGCGTGACTGTGGGGGCGTGACTGTGGGGCGTGACTGTGGCGTCGTGACTGTGGGGGCGTGGGCGTGTGGGCGTGACTGTGGCGTCGTGACTGTGGGGCGTGGCTGTGTGGGCGTGACTGTGGGGGCGTGACTGTGGGGGCGTGACTGTGGCGTCGTGGCTGTGGCGTCGTGACTGTGGGGGCGTGGCTGTGTGGGCGTGGCTGTGGCGTCGTGACTGTGGGGGCGTGACTGTGGCGTCGTGACTGTGGGGGCGTGGCTGTGGGGCGTGACTGTGGGGGCGTGACTGTGGGGCGTGACTGTGGCGTCGTGGCTGTGGCGTCGTGACTGTGGGGGCGTGGCTGTGTGGGCGTGGCTGTGGCGGCGTGACTGTGGGGCGTGACTGTGGGGGCGTGACTGTGGGGGCGTGACTGTGGGGGCGTGACTGTGGCGTCGTGGCTGTGGCGTCGTGACTGGGGGCGTGACTGTGGGGGCGTGACTGTGGCGTCGTGACTGTGGGGGCGTGGCTGTGGGGGCGTGGCTGTGGCGTCGTGACTGGGGGCGTGGCTGTGGGGGGCGTGGCTGTGGCGTCGTGACTGTGGGGGCGTGACTGTGGCGTCGTGGCTGTGGGGGCGTGACTGGGGGCGTGACTGTGGGGCGTGACTGTGGCGTCGTGGCTGTGGGGGCGTGACTGTGGCGTCGTGACTGTGGGGGCGTGACTGTGGCGTCGTGACTGTGGCGTCGTGACTGTGGGCGCGTGACTGTGGGGGCGTGACTGTGGGGCGTGACTGTGGCGTCGTGGCTGTGGCGTCGTGACTGGGGGCGTGACTGTGGGGGCGTGACTGTGGGCGTCGTGGCTGTGGGGGCGTGGCTGTGTGGGCGTGGCTGTGGGGGCGTGACTGTGGGGGCGTGACTGGGGGCGTGACTGTGGGGGCGTGACTGTGGGGGCGTGACTGTGGGTCGTGGCTGTGGCGTCGTGACTGGGGGCGTGACTGTGGGGGCGTGACTGTGGCGTCGTGACTGTGGGGCGTGGCTGTGGCGTCGTGACTGTGGGGGGGGCGTGACTGTGGGGGCGTGACTGTGGGGGCGTGACTGTGGGGGGGGCGTGACTGTGGCGTCGTGGCTGTGGCGTCGTGACTGTGGGGGCGTGACTGTGGGGGGCGTGACTGTGGGGGCGTGACTGTGGCGTCGTGGCTGTGGGGGGCGTGACTGTGGGGGCGTGACTGTGGGGGCGTGACTGTGGCGTCGTGGCTGTGGCGTCGTGACTGGGGGCGTGGCTGTGGGGGCGTGGCTGTGGCGTCGTGACTGTGGGGGCGTGACTGTGGCGTCGTGGCTGTGGGGGCGTGACTGGGGGCGTGACTGTGGGGGCGTGACTGTGGCGTCGTGGCTGTGGGGGCGTGACTGTGGCGTCGTGACTGTGGGGGCGTGACTGTGGCGTCGTGACTGTGGCGTCGTGACTGTGGCGGGCGTGACTGTGGGGGGCGTGACTGTGGGGGCGTGACTGTGGCGTGTGGCTGTGGCGTCGTGACTGGGGGCGTGACTGTGGGGGCGTGACTGTGGGGGCGTGACTGTGGCGTCGTGGCTGTGGTGGGCGTGACTGTGGGGGGCGTGACTGTGGCGTCGTGGCTGTGGCGTCGTGGCTGTGGGGGCGTGACTGTGGCGGGCGTGACTGTGGGGGGCGTGACTGTGGCGGGCGTGACTGTGGCTGGAGTGACTGTGGGGCGGGACTGTGTGTGGTGGGGCGTGACTGTGGGGCGCGTGGACTGTGGGGGCGTGGCTGTGGGGGCGTGACGTGGCTGTCGTGACTGTGGCGGGCGTGACTGTCGCGGGTGGTCGTGACTGTGGCGGGCGTGACTGTGGCGGGCGTGACTGTGGCGGGCGTGACTGTGGGGGCGTGACTGTGGCGGGCGTGACTGTGGCGGGCGGTGACTGTGGCGGGGAGTGACTGTGCGTCGGAGTGACTGTGGCGGGAGTGACTGTGGCGGGAGTCGTGACTGTGGGGCGTGACTGTGGCGTGTGACTGTGGCGGGCGTGACTGTGGCGGGGGGACTGTGGCGGGCGTGACTGTGGCGTCGTGACTGTGGCGGGAGTGACTGTGGCGGGGAGTGACTGTGGCGGGCGTGGACTGTGCGGGCGGAGTCGTGGCTGTGTGGCGTGGCGGGGACTGGGGCGGGCGTGACTGTGGCGGGCGTGACTGTGGGGGGCGTGACTGTGGCGGGCGTGCCGTGACTGTGGCGGGTCGTGACTGTGGCGGGCGTGACTGTCGCGGGCGTGACTGTGGGGTCGTGACTGTGGCGGCGTCGTGACTGTGGCGTCGTGGCTGTGGCGGGCGTGACTGTGGGGGGCGTGACTGTGTGGGCGTGACTGTGTGGCGTCGTGGCTGTGGGGGCGTGACTGTGGCGTCGTGGGCGGGGCGTGGCTTTGGGGGCATGGCTATGGGAGCGTGGGCATGACTGTGGGGTCGTGGGCGTGACTGTGTTCACCTAGTTGTGCTTGCGGGGGTTGAGCTCTGCTCTTTCGGCCCGCCTCTCAACTGGCAATCTAATTATTTCTAACTACTAAACTTTCTCCCCCCCCCCCCCCCCCACCCCCAACCCCCCCATCGCCCCCCCCCCCCCATCCCCTCCCATCCCCCCCCCATCCCCTCCATCCCCCCCATCCCCTCCATCCCCCCCATCCCCTCCAACCCCCCCCCACCCTCCAACCCCCCACATCCCCTCCAACCCCCCCCATCCCCTCCAACCCCCCCCATCCCCTCCAACCCCCCCATCCCCCCAAACCCCCCCATCCCCCTGTTGGATATTTCCAACATCGAATACAGCATTGTTGTATTCTCATTACTTATTACTAACCATATTATATTTGTAGTAAGTTAAAATTAACAACTCGTAGATTCTTCTGTACTAATAATTCATCTGTGCATTAGGCTAGAATTCTCACGTCATCTGACGCCAGTATTGCGTCAGATTTCTTACAGTAAAACACATTATATACAATTTGTGTGAGAATTAAATTCGATTCCTCCATAATTAAAGCATTCTGTATGACAACTGATTGCAGACGAATTGTTCTCTAACTAAAAAGCCGAATAGAGCGTTAGAATTATACCGTCTACCTCGCGATAGTGTTAACGTCATCAATGAATGCTATGGGGAGACATTAATTCCTCTCCCTTGTATCTTTACTATTCTTAAATAGTTAAATAATAATATTTCGTCCTCCTAAATAATAAACCCGTCCAGTCTTTAGAGTTTCAAGCGCGAATGCGAGAAATATTAATGTTCATGCCAATAATTTGTGTAATGAACGTCGACTTGGCGTGGGGGGAGGGACGCGACGCCATGCTCACCTCGGTGAGCAGTCGGTGAGGAGTCGGGGACGCGGACACGTGCAGGGCCAGAAGGAGGCAAAGCTGCGCTTACCGTACTCACAAAAGACGCCATTGTCCAGCATATAGGACAAGTGTGTCCATCTACAGATGAAAGCCCGCCACTGTGGGCGTGAAGACCTTGCAGATAATATCTTCAACTCGTGCTGGTGTTAAATAAGGGACCCCTAGACTTGGTTCCTGACGACACGTGATCAGCCAACTTGAAACGCATCAATCCAGGGATAGGTTCACCGGAGCCTGGGATGCGAAATTACGGCAATCTTAATACTTACACAGTGCCCACAGCTAAGTACCTTTATTTGATGCATCATTTACAGGTTTAACAATAGCGGGGTGATTGCGCGTTACGCGGCCACGACAACACCTAATAACAGGTGATTAGAAATTTCTCTGTAGATATCAATAATCTTGAATATGTATTGAGTAGTTAAATCAATTGCTACTGGTAGTTATTTCGTTGCAGCTCGAGAGACGAATTCCTCATGCTGTCTTCTCCATGTTAACCGTGTCAGACGTCGGTGTACCAGACTTGGAGATTAAGAGGACTGCCAGGTTATCTAAAGGAATCTATTACCAGCTAAGGCTTATTTCTTTTATTCATAACATTGCAATTGATACATTCAGATGTTTTCCACATATGTGTGATTTACTGTAATTCATTATTATGCTCATATTCATGTTCTTACTTTGTATGAATAATATTATATTCAACATTAATTATAGGATTAGATTATTATTAATAGAATTAGTGAACGAACCACACTGATTCCTGGACGTACTGACCTCCAGTAATAACCCCCCAATGTAGGTGTTTGAGTTTGGTTTTAATAATACAGCCCATTAATTATTCTCATGATCATACGTTCTAGTCATATCCATAGTCACTGGTTTCTTCTAGAATTTTATCTAATGATCTGAAATTCTCAGTTTCCCTCTTTACTTTAAAAGCGGGTGGTCCTTCGTAATTTAATTCACTACTTTAATTATTAATTAATCTGAATCAAACCCAAATATCCCACATTATGGTCCTTATCGAACGGATAGGCTTAAATTTATAATTAAAAATTAACCATTAATAACTAGTCCTTGTGTGATAGTAGCTAGACTAACTATTTAATTAATCGTGTCAACTAACAGTGTAACACATCAGTTAGCCTAGATCACACTAACAGCTACCTTATACATAGCTTTAGTGGGTTAAAACTAATTACCCACAACATTTAGACCTACACTTCATACGAGTAGAACCCTTAGGTCACCAAGAGCAACAGCTCATAACCTTATATTAATCACTAACACCAATTAAGTGTTAACCATTTAGGCTATTACCATGTTTCAATGTGGCTGTCAGCAGACTGTCCTTATAGCCTGAATCCATGTTATAATTACTGATTCACTCAAGTCAGTGAGATCATTAACATTTAGGGATCCAATATACTAATATAATTACTGATCTCATACTAGTTAATCATTACTAACCCTGATCATATTTTATTCCACAATTAGGAGTACATTCAGGAGTTAGGTAATATTACGGCAGTAGAATACTTGCCAAACAAATTAATTCCTTTGTGTTCATTTAATTTCTTATGCACATAATTACACAAGTGTATATTATATAAAATACAAAAAACCCAAAACACAGCACAATTATTTGCACATTACTGCACCATAATATAATCTTTGCCAACCTTTAGTATGGTAGCAATTTAGGCTGTGATTGTGTTGAATTTGGCACAAGCACAGACTAAATGATAGTTGTAGTTTCTCAAGTAGAAATTCTCACGACTAGGCTTAAGCTAGTTAGTGACACACATATTATTCTTTGTGCTGACCCTATCAAGGGTGGGATTAACCATTATTGTGTAATTATTTTATTGCATATTTCTATGTATGTCTTTGAGTGTGTTACTGTAAGTAGCACTACCCATCCGAGGCTGATTTAGAAGAGCTAAGCTGAGGAACACCTGTAGTGAGACCAAGGTACCACTCAAATCTTTAGTTGCTTATTATTAGGTGGTAGCTAACCTCCAAAGGAGGTAAATTACAACCAGCCTCAAGAAACATTAGGCTGTCAATACTTATACCTGGCTCTACATCAAGGAGCAGAGACTATAGCTATACCACTAGCTACATAAGCCCTATCAGGCTGTAAATAGTTATACCTGCTCTACATCCAGGAGCAGACAACATAGCTATACCACTAGCTACATAAGCCCTATCAGGCTGTAAATCATTATACCGCTCTACCTCAAGGAGCAGACCATAGCTATACCACTAGCTACATAAGCCCTATCAGGCTCAATTTACCGCAAGAATGAATCCTTTAGAAAGGAATGCAAGATTCTTGACAGCTCTTCAAGCTCCTTTAGGAAAACTGCTTGTGAATGTCAGTTCTGTGTCGAAAACTGACCCAGGTGACGTCTACAGACTAGCAAGTTCCATAAGGATCGCCAGCCAAAAATATGACATATCAAGACTGTAATCGAAACCCACAGGAATTTACTCCAAGCCGGTCATACTGTCTCAGACCACTAAGTCTAACAGATCTTTGATCTCGATAACTATGAACATTTTGTTCAAACCAGTTTAGACGATATAAGGAGGTGCTTGCGAAGCAAGATTTCCCGAGTGGGTGGATCAGATCATTAATAGACCTGTATCCAAGCTAACACTCAGCTCAGATGAAATACTTGAGCTAAATCAAGACGAGGAGAATCCTCTAATCAATACTGATCACTATACAGGATCAACAACTGGAGATCAACCTTCATTTTCTAACCTCTCATCTAATACAGCTCATGTGATGATTTGTTCACAGAGTCTGATCAAATTTCAGACCACTCTTCTCAATGTTCCTGGATTCTATAAGTTCAATACATAATGCTACTGAATTAACTAGCTTATCACCAGAACCCAGAGAAACGAGTGAAGCTGCAGATGGAACAAGTGAAGCTGCAATGATCAGTGAATCTGAACCAGAAAATGATAAAGCTAATGCTGCAGCAGCAGCCGAAGCTGGAATCAAAGCTGAGGCTAAACAAGAAGCCTTAAGCAACACAAGTAATGGTCACAATTGCTCACAACAGCCTTCTAAAGTAAGTGCTGACAATGAGAAGACTATTATAAACCTTGTACACCAATTATTAAATTTATCTTCACCAGAGCAATCAGGTGACTCTTTACAAGCCTTTAGTTTCCAGCTTGAGTCACTGATAAATTCTTTCAGTAAAGAGGTGGATCACCCAACTACTGAGTGGATGACTAAAATTATCATCCAAAGAAAATTGTCTGGTGACACACTTAATAAATTATATGTATACCAGAATGGTAATACCCTGTCAATGCAAGATATATTTACAGGTTTGCGTAATATGAGCAATCATACAGCAGACCAAGCAATTAATGCTAAATCTGAATGCACCAAAACTGTACCTACATCAGTTTCCTTACCTGAAACTCCTAAAGTGACACTGTCACTAGGTAACCAAGGTGCTAATACTCAATGTAACCAAAATCAGTCAAATACTGATTCATCAGTGAGGCCTAAGAGTCCCACAGGTGCTCCTAAGAGACCTAATAGTCCAAAGAGCACTGCTGATAATCCATGTAACCAGAATCAGTCAAATACAGATTCATCAGTGAGGCCTAAGAGTCCCACAGGTGCTCCTAAGAGACCTAATAGTCCAAAGAGCACTGCTAATAACTCCACAGGTGCTCCTAAGAGACCTAATAGTCCAAAGAGCACTCTAAGAGCCTGTTAATGGTTCCCCAGAGTACACACCAGTACTCACAAGAGATAAATAACAAGCAAATGCAAGCATCAAAACCATCACCACCTGCAAATACTGTTTTACTAAACGGTAACCCCTAAACGATCTGTAGGATGGGGAATATGCTTGTTTGGCAATCAAAAACATTCTCTGTACAATGTACTAATTATCCTAATAGAGACACAAGAGTCAGACGACTCAAACATTTACACAAATGTACTAGGTGTCTCAAACCACATAATGTTAACAGCTGTGGACACCCCCACT